ATTTGCATGTTGTTTGTCTGTTAAAGGTCGTGTCTAGTTCACTGCCCTCCATATGGTAAGTACTTAATGTTTGTTCAGCAGACACCACCACTGCGAGTGACTTTCTCCAGACCTTTTGTTGCAAATCAGAGCGTGTTGGGTTAAGGGTTCTTATAAGATTGGAAGTATGTCAGCTTCTGTATCCATTTTCTATCCATGACATACCCATCAAACTACTTGGGGCAAACTCATTGGTACTCAGATGCTCACATTTAGCAATGGTGGAATCATTTAGGGTTTTCAGTGTCCAGATAATGAACAGGTTGAGGAATGAACAATACAGCAGTTTCTCAAAATGTGGTTCAAGGACTGCCTGCATCAGAAGCCAGTGGTGAGCAAGTTGGAAGGTCAGATTCTGGGGTCCCAACTCAGCCTACTCAATCTAGATTTGGGGGTGGGGAAAGCCCAGGATTCTGCATCTTTATATGCATGCCTCGTGATTCGGGTACCACTGGCGTACAGTCTCATTCTTAAGATCCCTTTGATTTGATTCCTGCCAGTAGTGAATGATCCCTTAGTCTACCTCCCCATGGTTGGTCATAAGAAATGAGGTCCAGGTAGGGTGAAAGAAAATCCTGCATTTGAAGGATGAATTACTGATCGCCCTATTATTCTTTCAACAGATAGATATTTATTAGGGGCCTACTATGTGCCAGGCCCAGAGCGAGGCACTGGGCAGACAAAAATGGATAAAATGTGGCCTCAACCATCAAGAGGCTTATGAGTAATCTATGAGTTATCTAATACAGTCAAACACATTAGCCATGAAATATAAAATAAATTAAATTATTCTGTGTCATCTATGTCATGGTAAAAAGAAAAAAGCACCACCCAATAATTTTGTGGGTTTAGATATTAGGAAAAAAATACCTTCGTAGTAATATGTGGAGAGTCACTAGTAATAATGGATGCATCCGTCATGTCTCACTGTGAACGAATTGTTTCCAGCTGAGATCCCTGTAATCTGCAGGTGCTGTTTACCATGTAATTTTACCATAGGAAACAAGGGTGTAATCAGTTAATAAAGTGTAAAGAATTAGATTTTTTTTCCCTTGAGCAAAATGCCTGGCTGTGGCCAACATTCCTGATGCCTCCCCTCTTGTGCAATAGGAAAGCAATATTCAAAGAGAGAAAGCTGCTTTGTTCATGTTCTGCAACTCGCCTCTGAAGGCCACACTAATGAATGCAAGACTCGAGCAAGGATTCCAGACGTTTGCTATGAACAGCCACTGATCTTTGTCTTTACCATTATGCTACATGGGATGGTTTCCCTCTTGCCCCTAGCAGAAACTCAGATAAGGGAGCTGTGAATACGGATCCCCTTTCAGGATAGGAAGGGGTCTTTGTTCTTTTCTTCTGGTTTCTACTGAGAAAATAGAAACTATATTCAAAGCATTGCCACATGCAGGCAGTCCCCTTCTAATAAACATGTGGTTCATGAATATGTCATACTCATCAATAGCCTCTCTTAAGGGGCATTAAGCTATTCCTGCTACCCATGGAAACCGGAGTTGTTTCTGCTGCCTGCACAGATTTGTTCCTTCCTCAGCCCCCTCCTCTGGGAGCTTGAGTTCTCACAAGCTCCCATCGGACCCTTAGGAACAATTACTGTGTAAGCACGTTCTCCTGCTGCTGCCACCAGGATACAAGAAGGTGCTGGAGGCCCTGCCAGAACACCCATAGCAGCCGAGCCCATGAGGGAACACAAAGAGCATGAAGGAAAGTCGAATTGTAGATGTGATGGTGGGGGCGTTCTTCATGTGGACTCCAAAAATGCCTTTCCCTTAGAAATAGTGTTAAACTGTAATGACATGCCCATGGAAAAATCAGTTACCTGACAAATTCAAACTATAGCCAGGACTCGAGCAGTAAGCAAACGGCTATAAGCCGCCAGAGAATATGCATCTTATGTATTGGAAAAACCATTCAAAAACCCATTGACTGCCTGTTTATTCTGTTTGTACATGGTTCTAATTAGTTTTAACAAGATGTCAAGCCTTTAGCAGATTCTAAGCAGCAAATTTGAAGGCACTAGAAAAGATGTTTGCAGGTAGGTGAAGTGAAATCTGATAGTTGACAGTAAAGTAAGAGACAAAAAAAGCATTAAAAAGAAGCTAAAGATTTCAAAAACCAACCACAATGAAACACGACTTCACATCCACAAGAATGGCTAAAATTAAAAATATTGACATCAGTGTAATGAAGATGGAGAGCACTGGATCCCTCAGACATTGCTGGCGGGACTACAAGACGGTACAGTCAGTCTGGAAAAACAGTTTGGTAGTTCCTTATAACAGATACTTACCATAGAACCCAGAGGTTCCACCCCGTGGTGTTTAAGGGTGGAAGGAACCTCTAGACAAAAGATAAAAGAAGACTTATGTCCCCACGAAGACTTGTGCGTGAATGCTCATATCAGCTTTATTCACAATAACCGCAAACTGGAAAGAACCCAAATATCCCTCAACAGGCGAATGCATTTAAAAATTGAGGCACATCCATACAATAAAATACTACTCAGTGATAAAAAGGGAATGAACTGCTCATACCTGCAATATGAATGAGTCTCAGAGACATTATATGGAATGAAAGAAACACCCAAAAATCATGCAATCATATGATTCCATTTAGGTGAAGTTCTACAGGAAGAAAAACTAAGCTATGGTGATGGAAATCAGAACAGTGGGTGCCTAGCGTGGGGAATCACCCTGAAGAATGACTGATGGGGGCTAGAGGGAAAATTATGGGGCGATAGATATGTTCTATCTTGATTTGGAGGGGTGGTTACAAATGTGTGTACATTTTTCAAAACTCTATGCTTAAAATTTGTGCATTTTATTGTATGTAGATTAAAATTGAAATTTTCATAAAGTACAAAAATGTAAAAGGGAAATAAATACTTCAGAGGACCCCCCTGCTGCAGGATAAAGTCTAAATTGCTTAACAATTTCATGTCTTTCGGCTCATTCCTTACCATTCCTCTCCACCTCCTGCCACTTGTTCTAAGTTACTCGTATTTCCAAAAACTGCTGTTCCCCCTCTTTCTTCTGAACCTTTAAACACAGTGCTCCCTTTGCCTGGAATTCCTTTTCAGCTGCCCATTCATCACTAAAGCCTTGACATCCTTCAAGACCCAAAGAGATAGCACCTCCTCCAAGAAGCCTTGTCCACTCCCAGTCTGTATTAGGTTCTGTCCCTCTGGCTCCCAGAGAACCATATATTTTCTCTAACGAAGCACATATTGTTCTGTAATATAATTGTAAGTTTTAAAAACCTCAAAACCATAGTGGACTGGGCCTATTGAAGGTCCAAATAGGCTTCTACATACTCAGTAAGCCCTGGGTTAAATAATATATTGTAGAATTTCTATTCAAAATAAGTTTCACTACTCAAAGTCATCAAGAAAACTCTTCTATCCAGAATAACTTGTTCTTTTGGAGTGGCAAATGATTGGGATTGTATAGCAGTTTGGGTTCATATTAGTAGTAGTATAATAGCTTATTTATGTTGTGGGTTAAGTAACTTTCTATGGGCTTTATCTGGAAACCTAGCCAGACTTTATTATGTTGATTCTATGGAAAAATGCATTATATAATTCAGTCAAATGACTCAAAAATACTGCTCGGTTGAACCATGAGAAATTGCTGATAGTCAACCATTTTTGGCATACAAAAATTACAGTTTCATATGGTTCAACCTCAATGTTTTTAAATTAGCCTTATGGAAGGTTGGAGATTATCTAAACATTCATTTATTAACTTTACATTTAACACATGGATACATTCTGTAAGATGCTAATCTTGTACATTAGGCTTTTGTGTATAATTGTTCTATGTAAACAGTAAATTGAAGGGTTTTGAAGAAAGTTTGTGTAGCATGTTAAGGCTTTCTTGAGTCCTACCCATTTTTTTTGTCAATTAATGAAAGATGCAGCAGACATGAAGATTCTGGAATTGTTTATTTCTTGAACTAACACTAGGGTGAAAATACAGATTCATTTTGTCTTTTTTAGCCCTCAAACTAACCAGTCTATTTTGAAAATTAATTTTAATAAAAGCAATAGCTAACATTTATTGAGTGCATATTACATGCTGGGTACTGTGCTAACCCTATAACTACTTTATGAGCAAAGTACTGTTTGTTATCCCTATTTACAGATGAGGAAATTCAAGCTTAAGTAACTTGCCCAAGGTTATACAGCTGTAAATGGCAAAGTCGGGATTAGAAGCACTGTCTGTGCTACCACTCCATCCACTGTTTACCTCGAGCACATTTTTTAACCACAAAGAGGCACTCGTGCTGAAAGATTATGATTCAGTTTAGCAAGTATATGTTTAAGTTGTGATTATCATTGGTGGAACCAGGCCCATTCAAATATGAAATATTATGAGAGGTCATCAAAAGACATGAAGTACCAAAATGAGTCTTGCAAACCCAAGTGCTATAGACGTCTAAGAAAGGGAGCAAATAATTATGCATTCAACTCTCAGAGGAACGTTGACATAAATGGTTATCTTCCGATCATAATTGAATGCATAACATTCTGGGAACAAACCAAAAGTTTAGTGTAAATAGGAATGTGGAAAAATCATGGATGTATAATAATAAAGCCCAAGAGGGAGTAGCAAACTCAAGTCTAATTCTGGGCAGACATGAGTACTATGAGAGGAAGGTTAGAAATCCATGCCTGGGCTCTCTGAATCCCAGAACTATCTGGAGAACTGGGACTTGAAGCATTACTCATTAGATATTTGGGGCAGAAGAGAGGAGATTCAGAACATAGCCAAAATGCCATGCCTAATGGTATCAAGAATAAAAAGATTTATACAGTGGAGGGGAAGACGGGCTCAGGCTTTAGACACTTTAAGGTGAAGGTGGACTCTCTACAGAAAACTAGTTTTTTATGTTGGCTATGGTGGACTGGGGTCAACCTTTGAGTAATCTACTGATTATTTTTACAGATGGCCCTTCTGAATTTTTTCTTCCCTGAAGAAAAGTCATTTTCTGAAGCAGAAAGTAGGCGTGTTCGTCGCAATAAAAGAAGCAAAAGCAGTGAAGGAGCAGACGGTAAGTCTACTTGGGTGGTCCTTTATCGTATCTCAGTGACAGCACCATCCTGAGAACTGCCTTCTCAAGTGTGCTTCACCATCTCATATATTGTCCACAGGCCCAAGGTCACAGACGAAGGTTTTTCCAGCCTAGCCTACCAATCAGTCCTTTGACATAGAATTCGCTACACAGGATCCTCCCTCCTGCAACCCCAGATACCTTTGGTCCTTTCACAGTATGTCTGAGAGACATGGTAGCATTTGTAGCTCTCAAGACCACCTTCCATAAGGACCTAATCTCTCCTGGGGACATACTAACGCTACCAGGAGGATTCTGTGCTGTCCTTGGAATTGATGTAGTGTTGTGCCATGGTGGCACTTACATCATATGTTAATTCCAATGATAAGCATGTCAATGTTGGTTTCAGCTACCATCTGCAAATATGAACTAGAGCTTCTAGAATTGGTTTGTAAGTTCCTTGACAGCAGGAATTTCTTTCTCTTTGTATAACCCCAGAATCTAGACTAGTCAGTAGCAAATTGTTTGTGTTTATAATGTAAGTTGATGATGTTGATTGCCCCTTCAGCTAGGTTATCATGTGCCTTGAAAACCATCCCTACTGAGGGTAAAATAGATTTGAGTTAATTAGCAGTGTATTTTGTGGGGCATAACAAAATGTTGAGCTAGCTCCTGGGCAGGTTCTTTGAATTGCTCTGTTTCAATATTATTTTGTCAGTGACAGAATGCTGCCTCTTTGGCACAGGCATTTGTAGAATGCATAGCTCTGGGCTGCTGCAAAGCCATCTGGATTCAGAGACAGCATGTGCTGGCTACCTCTGCCAAAGATATATGTCTGGGGTTATAAAGCAATATGACTCTATAAAGATGAAAATGAAAATTTTAAACTGGCATTTGTCAATGTGAATATAGGCCAATGATGGAGGCAGTACCGGGAGGTATGAGCTATTAAAGAAATGGGGCCAGAATTTTGTCAGTAGGGGCAAGAAGAAATAGAGCTGGATGAAGTTAGAAGAAGAGCCCAGAACAAGAACCCTGTAATAATAAAAAAATAAAGAGAGACTCAGAGAAATAAGATAAGTGGGGTGTTCTAGTCAATGGAGGTGGCAGCAGCATTGAGCCCTTGCATGGAGTACTGGACCAGTGGGGCCATTTTCTAGAGCAGACATTTTGCATACAATTGATGACCAAGTTTAAGTCTAAGAAATGTGGCCCATGGAGTAAAAGGCACCTGTTATTTGCGTACTGCTTGCTACCCGTTTCCCAGAAGTCTCAGAAGGCTAGTGGAGCATCAGAACTAAGAGTCATGGTCTCTTTCCTCTCACAGTCACCTCACCCTTCAATGCGTGTAGGTCTTTCCACCTTTGAGTCTCCCCTGAGGCTACTCCCAGTACCATGAAATCTTTTACATTCCCTGGTTACTAAGGAGGAGAGGAAAGAGATGGTAAGAGCAATATCAACTTATGTGGTGGGCACGGTCTTCCCTTCCTCTCCAAGTGGGAAGTCTAAGAACTTCTAAAGTTGACCTCTTCGTTTGGCCTCCCAAGTATTGTCTTGAAGTAGGCAGCTTCCTCCACTTTCCTAAACCACTTTGTCTGGATCTGGCTACCAGCGTTTTTGCTACTGATCTTCCTTACAGTGTTTATTCTGTTGTGATACAAACTGGTTTTTCTCTCTGGTGAAGGCCAAAGCCTCTCTTCCTAGCTTTTAGTACTTCTTATCCAATTTCCTCCTGACCTCATACTCTAGTCAGTCATTAGACTCTAGTTACTTTGTGCCAGTGCCAACTTTCTCATGCAATCACGGATATTTTTCTTTAACCAGTATAGCTGGGAGGAATCCAAGAGTCCCTCAGAGTTAAGACTATAGAGTGTCTGTGGGTCCTGGGATTTGATTAGATTTCCAGCCTGTTACCTGGGGGGCTATAGAACCATTTCTTTAGATGTGGTGGGTGCTCCAATGAGTGAAAGCATGGCAAGCCAATCCAAATCTCCTTTACTTGTGAACCATTCCTTTTACTCTGCTGAGTGGATGCTATATGTATTCAACACATTTATCAAATATTAACCTAGAAAATATAGCAGCTTACATAATACTAGAATGGAAATGCCATGAGGATATTTGTATCTGTCTGTTTTGTTTACTTTTGCATCCCCATTGCCTAGGAAAGGACCTGGCACATAGTAGACCCTCAATAAATATTTCATGTTGTCCTCACAGAGTTTAAGTTACCATGTAAAGAGACAGAGAGTAAACAAAACTGGTGTAAGTGTTGTGGAGAAAAATAATAATAAGGCAAGAGGAAGAGAAAGTCATGGGGTGTGCTCTAGCACGATCAGGAAATGTCCCTCTAATAATGGAACATTTGAGAAGAGATCTGAATGAAATGAAGGTGTGAGCCATGCAGGTATTTTGTGGTGGGAGGGAGGAGGAGAGAAGAACCAGTAAATACAAATGTTCTGAAGCAGAAGAATGGGCTTGGCATGTGCCAGAAAGATCAGTGTGGCTAGGAGCAGAGTGAGCAAGAGGGAGACGAAAGGAGATGAGATCGGGGAGCAAAGCCCAATCTAGAACCTTGTAGACCGAGGTGAGGACTCTGACTTTTACTCTGCCTGACATGGGGAACCACTAGAAGATTTTGAGCAGAGGAATGACAGAATCTGGTTGATGTTTTAACAGAATCCCTCTGGCTGCTGTAATGAAAATAGCTGCAGGGAGGACAGAAAAAGGAAGACCTGTTAGGGAAGCATAACTAATCCAGGCGACAGATGATAGTGGTTTAGACCATCATGGAGATGGTGTGGGTGGTAAGTGGTCAGATTCTGGATAGAGTTTGAAGGAATCGCTGACAGGATTTGGGGTTTGATTAGATAAGGGGTATGAGAGACAGACAAGAGTCAAGGATGGACCCCAGTTTTGGGCATAAAGAACTAGACCAGTACCTCAAGGCTGTAGAATTGGCATTTCTGAGATGGGGAAAAACAGGGGAGGAGCAGGGTAAGGGGATGTAGAGAAGGAATCAAGAGCTCAGTTAGGCATGCTAACTTTGAAGTGCTTATTAGACAACCAAGTATATATGTTAGAGAGGCAGCCGGATATATAAGTCTTCACTATGTCTCAAGACAATGAGCTGACTCTGTTTTATGAAAATAAAGAACTTCTCATTGAAGAATTGAGTCAATCTATAAATCCTCTGAACAGTTAAGAGGTAGGATAGGATAGGTAAATCAGAGTGGGGTAATTTAAGGCCAAAAATAAAAACACACAAGCAATCAGGTGTTGATTCTAAATCCACAAATGACTTGATATATTAGAGCAAAAATGTAGCTATCCAGATCAGATTTGCTTCACAAGCGTCAAAGAAAAAGTGATTTACCTGGAACATTTAAGAACATGACAGAGATTTCAGGAAGAAAACATTTTTCTAAAGTCAAAAATAGAGATAAGTTTAAAAAGAGCAGGGAAATCAGTTCTAGTGCCTTGAACATTTTTTTGATATGTTACTATCTTTTAATTTCGTTTCAGTTCCCAAAACTTTACTTGTTATTTAGCAAGCCTTCTAGGCAGTACCAAAGAAGCATAACAATGCATAAGACCTTCAGAGAAGCTTACAGTTTAATGAGGGAGCAGCTACATTTATAGGCAGTAGCTAGTTAGGTCCTGCAGTTTACCAGTACGTAGAAGGCCCTCAAACATTTGTTAAATGAATCACTGAACAAACAAATCGGGGGAGGAGTCTAGATTTTCCATCTGTGAACGATAGATATTAAGTTTGATGATCTTCACTAATCCCTGTGGGAGAAAAAAATTTTGTTTCCATAAAAACAGTTAATTCACACTGAGGAAAAGCAAGGGATGTAATGATTCTTAGGAGCTGTGTAGGTTCGCCCAGAATAAGTCAGGCTATGGAAGCCTGTGTTCCTGTTTGCCCTAGACCACTACACTAGTTGATTAGAGGTCTAACATAGGCGTGGTCTGTCTTCCTTTAAAAAAAGTCAGTGACTATATCCAGGGCACATGCAATGTTGCTGACCCACTAGTCAAGAAATGGTTGCTTCATCTCCATTGCTGCACTTGGATTACTCTATAAATGTAGGTGCTGAGTCCCAGCACCTTTGGGAGACAGGAGTCCCAAACAGGGTGAGTTACCCTCCAATATGCAATAAATCCTGGCACTTTATAACTTCAACTCTTAGAAAATAAGCCAAGTCTTTTTCTTGACTACAGCTTTGCCTTAAATTCACTGTTCCTTCTCTGAGTTGGCCAAAAGTATGTGATCCAGGTTTTAAGTTCAGTTTTGCTAATTATATGCTAATTACATAGTTGTGGTTGTTCTGCAGGGAAAGCATGATCCCTTCATGGTAGGTGTTGTGAGCTACAACCGTTCCAGAAATCCGTGCCAGGATTTCCTGCTGGGACCCATCCTTGTGTTGTTTCCAAAGTGATCATAGCTCTATGTGGCTTCTTGGTCACCTCTTTCAGGATACTCCAGAAATCTGAAGAGCTTTATTTTCTCGTCAGAGTGAAATATCGAATATATTCAGAGGGTCATGAGGTCTTAGAATCAGATTACATGAATCCAAAATTCCCATGGAGTTGGTTTCCTCATTTTAAAGATATTATTGTAAAGCCATTTGTCCTCTTCCTGTAAAAGCATTTTCAGGAATCAATCAAAATATTAGTCTCACCCCTCCCCCGCCCCCCATGTTTCTGTCCTAGTAAGAACAATAAAAATAAAAGTGCAGTATGGCATAATACAAAAGGTACTAGAATGAGTTGCTATTTCTGGATCCCAATCCTGAAATCATTGCCACCTTGGAGGAATGAATCCCTTTGAGCCTCAGTTTCCTTGGCTGTAATGAGGATAATTAGCCCTGCTCACCTCACGTAGTCGTTGTACTTACCGAAAGTGTTAATGTATGCAAAAGTGCTTCAGGAATTATTAACTGCTATTACTGTGTTCTTTCTGGAAAATGAACATAATAGCATGTTCTCTCAGG